AGTGCTAAAGCACAGGTCAGCCCTCCATGGCCAGCAGTAAGGGATTAGTGCTAAAGCCATCTTTAAAGCAACAAAGATTGACAGCACACATTTATTAACAAGGTCCTCATTTCCCTGAGAAAAGTAAAAAAAAGCTGAAAGCTAAAGGAGAAGCTGAAGACCCAAAAGACAAGTAATCTTTGATATCTTTGCCCTTTACTGTCCTTTATACTGGAAAATATGAATATTTATTTCAGTTTGAAGGGAAAATGCCAGAGTTTATTCAGAAGGACAAGTCATAAAAGCACTGCATAACAAACCCTTACAAAGCCACCTGCACGTTCAAAGCTATCAACATTACCTTATCCTTTAAAACAGACATGGTTCTTGCCATGACCAAGAGTTGCGATGACTCACCAGACAGACATGATAGCAGATATCTGATCAACTCTCTACTGTTCCAGGAAGTTGTGGAGCATCAGATGCATTTGATTGTAAATCGTTTGACTAGCCTGTCTAAACCATTTGCCGGTTCCCTATTAGTCACTTAAGGGACTTACATTTCTGAATCACTGCCCAGTTCTTAACTATTCATATTCTGACCTTGTCCCTAAGAAAAAATAGTTGCTAATAATTGACAGAGCAGGTGTACTCACCTTCCAGCAAAAACAGCTTTCTCTGGGGGCTTGACTGGTGGTTTAGGCTGCATATTCCCTTGAGAGCTGCCAGTACCTGAAGATGATTGACTGTCTTCTATCAAGCCCTTCCTGGCTGTCTTGCTGATGACAAAAGCAGGTTTATCACTGAGTGTGTCAGGGGGAGCATCACGAGGAGTGTCACGTGGAGTTACGACGGGTGACACATCTTCCGGGAGTGATACAGATGTTGTTGTCACAGCACCATCAGTATCACGTGGGGACGGACGGACGTGTCTCTTTTGTCTGTCTCTATGGCGGGAGGTACGTTCTTCCTGGTGACTCCTATGTTTGTCCATGTGATGCTGACCAGCTGAATCTTTGCCAGCTTCCTTGACATCTGATTCATGGCTTCTGGAGTTGTGGTTTCTGGATGAGGAGGGAGTCTTAGCATGGCTGTGAGAGGCTGAATTGGAACTGCTCGGTGTTGCAGCTGCTTCTAAACGATCCTGTGTTGACGGCCTACTTCCCTGATGACAGTGATGTGTTGGACTGTCATTTCTGGGAGAGGGTGGTGGTAGACCTGACAGCGAACTCTCACTGTGTGCTCCTTGGCTTCGGGTGCTAGCCAGTTTCTCTCGTCGTCTTCGCTGGCGTGGTGTTAATGACTCCCAAGCAAGTCTGGACTGGGAGAAAGAACTCTCACTTGGTTGTCCATCTTCCACCCTGCCATGAGATGCTATGGAGTCGGTGATGCTTTCTTCATCGACAGATGAGATGTGTTCACCTGAGGAGCTAGATTTCATCCGTCTCCGCTTCCTCTTGTCCAAGTCACTATGTAAATAACTCAGTAGGTGGGCTTCCTCGGCTGCTTTGAGAGCCGCCACACGATCACTCGCCCTGTGCAATGACGACGAGCTCCCCCTTCTCTGTGGATTGACAAATACATCTCCTTGGTCGGCATCTTTTGCACTTTCCATGGCTTGCATCTGACTCGCCTGCTTCCTAGCAAAAGCAGCACGAAGAGAAGCAAAATCAGGATCCGTTTTGTGACGCAGGCGACGCAATGCCAATGGAGAAAGACTTGCTTTGAGGCTAGTGGGAGAACTTGCTCTTTTCTCTTCCCCAGACTCCAAGTCAGGAGACAAAGTACTAGCCCCACTCACCCCGTCAATATTGAGTTCTTTGTTGAAGCTGACAGTTCTGGACCTAGACTGGGGACTCAAAACACTATCTTCATGTCCTTGCTGGACAGCCTCTTTGAAAAGGCTTGCCTTCTGATCACCTTCCTGTCCTCTTCTTGCTTTCTTAACAATTTGTTCATCTGAAAAACTCTTCACAATCTTTTGATGACCCTGCCTAGAATGAGCCATGAGCCCTTCTTTCAACCTTGCCATAGTATTTTCAGTTGCGGCATCTGCTGCTTTCTTGGTAATGCTTTTTCTGTCCTCTCTTGCTTGTTCTTCATCCTCAGAAAATAGCAGAGGTGTCCTGGGGGATTCTCTGGGTGAGGATGAAGGAGGACTAACGCACGGGTCTAAAGTTAGTTCCTTAGGTCTGTTTCCTGAAACGTCACCATTAATGGAAGGCTCATACACTCTTACTTCTGGCAAGACATTAGGATTAGACCCCTTATGCTCTTCTGTATCATGGTACTGCTTACAGCTTCAACCTGCTGTTGTACATGTTTATCTGTAGCTTCTTTGGCAGAGTTCAGCACTGCTGTTTTAGGCGTTGATGTGGAGACTGACTCTTGGCCCTTTTCAGCTCGCGACAAAACTGTTGGTGTTGCTGGACTAGCTTGGCTGTCCTTCAGGGTTGAAGTGCAGGAGCCATTGCTATTCCAATCAGCTGAGTTGGAACTTGCCACAGACACCTTCCTCAAATCATTTAGGATTTTGTTTTCAGATTTATCACCTTTGGGAGTGCTCCCAGCATCCCTTGAGGGTGTGTCTGCACTTGTCATCGCTCCTGATGGTACTGCACCTGATCTCCTGGAAGAAGGCACAGTTGACTCCTCAGCTGATTTGGAGCTTAACGTCTTTTTCTGTGCTACTGGTGAGGCTGCCTTGTCATGGGGGTCTGTTTTAGTGTAAATCACGTTCCCGGTAAGTTGTTTTTTGATGACTGGCTTTTTGGAGAAGACCATTAGATTGGGTGGTTTCATTGTGGCTCTGGAAGTCTTGGCATCTTTGCTTGTGTGTGATTGTGTTTTGATGGAGTCTTTTTGTTTGGTTGGAAGCTCTACCTTCATGACATTCACTGGTTCCTCCCTCTTGACTGATGCACTCATGTCCAGAAAGAAGCTAGGTTCCTGCTGCTGAGTGGCACATTCTGAAATATCAGCATTGGCCGCCCCATCCTCTTGAGACAAACTCTCCATGATTGCATAAGTACATGAAGGTTCTACACTCAAGACTTTGATTTCTGCTTCTCGGCTTGGATCTTTGCTTGCTGAGGGTGGTGGTGATTGAACAGTCACTTTGAATTCCTGTGTTTTCCTGAGCTGAATTGATTGCACATTCTCCGACTGGAAGCTTGCATCTTCTAAGGTATCGGATGTTGGGTTTGATGCAATCCGTTGCCGTCTTTCATTCTTGGAGGACTGCCGCTCTTTGTCTTCTGAACTCATTTCTGCTGTCCTGTTAGGTGATTTGTCTAACCGCAGTCGGTTACCCAGCTTGTTTTGCAGCAGTATTTTGGGCACTTCAGGAAGCTTACGGGTCTTGCCCAAGGAGCCTTTCCTTTGGAGAGGGTTCCCTGATGGCTGTCCCTTGGTTGGGCTATCCTGTTTTGGTACTGGCGCCCCACTTGTGCCCTCAGCAGCAGGTGTTTCCTTCTTCGGTGTCGGGATACTTGGGAGTTGGCGAGCTCGAACAGGTCCTCGACCTTTTCGCTCACTCCTCCCAGAGCCACCAGACACAGTTTCACTTTCGTCTGTTTTAGGTGTGGCAGACCTGGCATTTTCTGAACTCCTGTGGCTCAATCTCTTCTTTTTTTGCTCTGCTTTCTCCTCGGTAGGGCCAATTTTGGCTCTGACAGCTATGTTTGCCCCAATCTCCGAACTTTTTGGTGAAATTTCTGGCTGAGCAGCAGGCTTCAGTGCAAGACGGTCTTTGGAAAGATAGTCCCTCTGATTTTTGGCACTGCCATCAACGCCATTCAATTCAGTCAGAATATTCTCCATTTCCTGTCGGTCCATGGAGGGTGATTTAACTGGAGCTTCCTTAGAGGAATGTTCAATGGATGACGTGGTTCTCTCGTAATACTCATGAGCCTCCATTTTCTTGTCTCCCCCCCTTGGCAACTCATCCTGAACAGGCTTCACTGCCTTAACATCCTCTTCCAGAGAGAAAGGCGTCAGTGGCCCTGAGTCCTGATTGTCACTTTCAAGCTTAAGCCTCTGTTGGAGGTTCTGTCCCCCCTTGTCATCAGAGAGCTCCAAGTCAAGCTTCCCGTCCTTAAAAGCTGTAAACCCAGTGGGAACATCACTCTGGTTAGCATGTGCATTTCTAAGCTTCGATGAGGCATTACCTTCCTCTTTATCAGCTAACCTTGCTGCCCGAAGCTCTTCTTGCAAGCTCTTCTCATTTCTTAAATTTTTCTCACACCAATTTTCCCTTGGGGTGGTATTAAGTTTGGGGTCCTTCAGAGGTTCTGGCTCATTCCAAGAAAATGCACCAAGTAGTAGTTCCATGGCAGCACGATCCGTGGCTAGACCATTGTCATGAAACTGAATGGGACTTGAGGCATTTACTGGTTTAGCACTGCTTTTCAGTGGTACTTCCATGTTGTTTGTTAAGACAGGCACCTTTTCCGCCTCTTCAGCGAGGCCCTTTGAGGCAATATGCTCCGTTATCTTACCAACATCCATAGGAACATTCAAGACTACATCATCCAAGTCTGCTTTTTTCTGAATTCCAGTGTTTTCCTCTTTGTATTCATCAATAACTTTGGGCAACGGTTCATTGATGAACAATTCCTGTTGAGGAACTGCGACTGGTTCTTCATCTGCCTTAGTCGTTTGCTCTGTGCTATCCTTCTCCAGGGACTCAATTCGCATCACCTGTGGCTCAGGCTCTGTCTTCTTCACATCTTGAACCATCTGCTCCTTAGGTTGAACAACCTGCTGCTTAATCTTAAGCAGAACAGTAGCTTTGTCAGAGTCTGAAGGAACATTTAATCCCTCTGTGCTCTGTTTTTGCTCAGGTTTGTTTGATGTAACTGTGTCACTAACGGCTCCCTGAGGAAAGTGCAGATTTTCTTGTTTCTCTTCAGTCACTTGCAAACTGTCCCAGGCTGTTTTCACAACTTGTTTGTCCTTCTTTCCAGTTTCAATCTTTTCATGGCAAGCATCTACTTGTTTATCTGAAACAGGGTCACCCTTGGGTTTACCAGGGGTTTGTCCGTCATGACCCTCAGCACCAATTTTGACTGCCACTGGCTTGAGGAGTTCCTGAGGGGGAGTGACTGTGCGTCCCAGGCTTGCAGCCTTCTTGGCAGTGCCAGCCTCTTGAAGCTCAACAGATTTAGGTTGCTGTTGAACTTCAGCATGCTCAGCACTCACCTTAATAATGGGTGGATTCTCAAAGCCAATCCGCCCTTCTCTGGGAAGTGTCTGTGCAGATACTTCAAGTTCTTTTGCAGCATGACTGAGATGACTTGGTCTAGGTATTCTGGATGCACCCTCGGGCAAGCGGGTTAACTTATCTTTGTCTACTTCATCCAAGGATCCATCATGCTGAAAGGCATCCCCAGAGTCTGTTTCAGGAACACTCCTACTTCTGTCTCTTTCAGCTTCTTGAAGCCTGGTTATGGCAGATGGACGGAGTTCATTTGCACTGGATTTTGCGCGGTTGTGATTTTCCTGCTTTTGCATAGTAGCTCCTACAAGTGGTGGGGTGTTGGCCCTCCAAGGTGGGGGCTTTGTCTCCTTGATACAAGGGACAGTCTTTATAGTCAGTTTGCCCTCGGCGCCACACTGTGCCTCAGGCGGCAATTGCACTTGTTGGACAGGCTCAGCAAATGAGCGGACAGGGAGCAGCTTGCTATTGGGTGCAGGTACAAGGTTCTCCTCTAGAAGGGAAGGATCTCGTTCACTGACTCCAAAGCCTTCCCTGAAGGTACTAACTTCACCCTCCATGATGGCATGGCTGTCATGGGTCCGCAGCCGCTTGGGCTTCTGACGTCGATGCAACATCCGGCGTCGTTTACTTATCGCTCGTTTGCACTTCTTAGGAACATCTCGCTTCTCGTTCTCTTTATTGTCCAGGACAATCTCTCCCTCTTGGGGTTCCCGACCTTCCTGTTCAGGTGTATCTCCTTCCCTCTCTGATCCAACATTCTCATTCTCATTGACCTCTCCCTCTTCTTCCTCTTCCTCTTCTTCTTCTTCCTCTTCATCAATCTCTTTCTCTGCATCTCTCTTCTCCTGGCTCTCATCCACTTTTTCTGGGGCATCCACAGCATTGATGCGTTGCACTTCTACTTGGGCCTCCTTCATGTTGTCACGGAAGCTGATGTTTTCTTCTAACACTATGTCTGTGTTTGCTGGGGGGACGTCAGGACTGAAAAAAAGGACATCATTATCGAAATTAAGAACAAGTGCAAGCTGTCAACCTTAGAAATTCCTTAAAATTGCTTGTTCAGACTGTCCAACTTATTCAGCATTGATCTGGTATTAAAATTACACATTAGTGTTTTATTTAGGAAACATTTAAATGATTTCTCCCCTAGTTTGAAATTCAGAAGGCAACAAGAAATATCCACACATCCATGTACATCCACATATCCATGCACATCCACAAATCCACATTCATGTACATCCATAGATCTATGTACACCCATAGATCCATGTACATTCACACATCCATGTACATCCACACATCCATGTACATGTACATCCACAGATCCATGTACACCCACAGATCCATGTACATCCACCCATCCATGTACACCCACCCATCCATGTATACCCACAGAACTATGTACACCCATAGATCCATGTACATCTACACATCCATGTACATCACCACATCCATGTACATCCACACATCCATGTACATGTACATCCACCCATCCATGTACATCCACCCATTTATGTACATCCACACATCCACGTATATCCATAGATCCATGTACATCCACACATCCATGTACATCCACACATCCATGTAAATGTACATCCACAGATCCATATACATCCATAGATCCATGTACTGTACATCACCACATCCATGTACATCACCACATCCATGTACATGTACATCCACAGATCCATATACATCCATAGATCCATGTACATCCACACATCCATCTACATGTACATCCACCGATCCATATATATCCATAGATCCATGTACCCAAAAGAGGAGAAATATAGTATCCACAGACAAAAGTGCTGCAAGTCTGTCTCCCTTTTTACAATACATGTCTAAAGTCTTGAGCAGTTCCACTTTTACTTACACTCCTTGCTTAGGTTCCTTGGCTGGGCTAAGTGAAGCAGTGGTGGTAGTCTGTGAACCGTCAGCATAGATCTTCTCCCAGTCATACGGATCAGATTCTTTGATACCCTTCCTGTTCATGCAGTGATCCAGCAAAGAGTGGAGGAACTGTCAGGAAAAAATCAACACCAACAAAGCACTGATGACAAGTGTTCTATCATGTAACAGATTTCAACCATCTAAAGCTATATGTCTCTCTTTTCCAGTCAGTAAAATACATATGTCTATAATATATTTACGTCACTCAAACCTACAAAGTAAATGACCTGGGGGCATACATGTATAGGGCGAGTTTGTTTCACATGGATCCAGATCGCGAACAGTGATCTGTTGCTGGTTCACTGACACCAAAACCCGCCAAATGGATGGAGCAAACCGACCATAGGATCGCTGATCGAGATTAGTGATCCTCAACAGGGAACCCTAAATATGGGACTCTCAACATGGAACCCTCAACATGGAACCCTGGGACTCTCAACATGGAACCTTCACCCTAGATTCACAACAGTTTGCAATTGTTATACTGCACTGTGACAGGTGGTGCAAATCTAATCAACTGGTTCCATATTTCCTTTCATTCCAACTCTCTGGGGCCCCCCTTGATTCATTTCCCACCACAACACAATATGCATTGGAGTTTAAGTATTCTCATGAGTGCATGTGTTGTTTAATCCCTCAAAATGTCCTGCTTTTGTTTCCTTCTACACCCTCCCACACTTGTACCACTCCATCCTTTCAGAAGCAATACCTTGTAATCAGGCTTATCTTGATACTGAAGATTCTGTATGTGCTCCAGAAACTGTTTGAATTCAGAAGGCATGTGCTTCAACATGGAGCGATGATCGTACTTCTCTTTCATTAAGCCAACTTGCTCCTATAATAGAAAAGATAATGGTCACATGTCCAGTGAAATAGATTCAAGCCATTATGTTGCTGCTAGGAAGAGAAAGGACTCTGGTCAAGCGAAGCAGATCCAATGAGGTTACAGCAAAAGTTTTGTCTACAATCAGAAAGTTTTTAAAAATCTGTCCTATGATATTTTCAAATAAATCGACTGCTTTATCTTGTGATATAGCAAAACTACATGTAGTCTCCCATGGTAATCTAAAGAGCACTCCATTCTTTGTCAGCTACATGTAAAACACGGGTGGCTGGCGTGTAAAGTTCTTGCTTCTGCAGCCCAAGTTCCTTTCCCAGCCCAGACCACACATGGCTGTTTTTATTCATTCCGTTCTCTTACTGTTCCATGAGGGTCTTGCTCTGGGATCTCTAGTTTTCCCTTCTCTCCACAAAAATCAACAAATCTTCATCCAGATCAAACACAGGCTTTAAAGAGAATTTTCAGACAAAGATGATGTTCACGTAGAAAACACTTCAGAGAACACCAAGGCGGGCTTGTTTTACGGTTCCACTGACAACAGTCCATCTCTGTGTCTTGTAAATCCTTCTTTAGTTAAGACTTCTTTGTCCCTACATCTGCTGGCACTTACCTTGTCTTTAATTTTACGCCATGGCAGTTGACCAATGACAAATTCCACCAACATGTAGAAAAGTGACCACAAGTCATCGTGTCTACCCATTTCCTGTTAACAGAAAAGAGCAAAATAACAGATATCACATTAAGGGGGTGAAAGCCAGAAACTGGAAAAAGATTAAACTCTGCCAGATGTTTCCAAATAAACAATGTGCAAAAGATTAAAGACTTGCATTTCAAGGAAATAATCTTGATGACAAAAAGTATGTATGTATATAGCAATCACTCTGCATAAAAAGTAGAATTATCTAAACTTCTCTACAGTGTTGAAATTAATAGGCACATTCTCTTCCTGAAGGTGAAAGCTTTTTACTGTTCTTTTCCTGAATGTAAAATTGTACACAGGGAGGGCTAGAATTAGAAGATCTGATGATTAGTGGACCACAATCGATATTTTCACTTTGTACAACAAGTTAAATTATGACATACCTTGTTCTTGTGTGCATTGACTGAGGCATAACGAACTGTACCCCGGAAACCTGCAACAGGTCTTGGCTGTGGAAGAAAACAGATGCAGTCACATCAAAAAAGGCAACATTAAAAGGTTTCAAACTGTTTTTCATGATCAGTGTACACCTTCATAACCTCTTTCATTAAGAATGATTACAACCAGGGAAGTCCTACACGGTGACGTTTTACATTTCTTGCTACTATTTGGGCCATCCTTACGCACAGATTTGACAGCCTCCGCTTATACCACAGACTAATCCTATGACCAGGGACAGAAGCCATTACTGCAGTGGTACTCTACAATCATGAGCAAGTTGTACCCACACATGAAATGTCTGATTGATGACTAAGGTTTTGTCATTTTTTCTAAATGAGTCCACAGCCCCTAGTTCAAGAATACATTCATGTGTGTGAATGTGGAACCACTTCAGCGGCGTTATTCCCTCAGATTATATGCAGTCTGTTAAGGTTTGTACTTATTTTTGCCATGGTTGTAAATTTATAAATGTTCATGAATGCTAGAGTTCAAGCTTACAGGCTATACTTACTGTTCTAACTTGGCCCTGTGAGTTGGTATATTGCCGTGAAAGACCAAAATCCAACATGTAAACTTTCCTGCAATTACTTGAGAGGCGACCCATGGCAAAGTTGGACTGGAAAAAGACAGCACAGGACAAGAATGAATCCACAAAAAAGTCTCTACTTTCACTGGAATGATACAATAAAAGAAATTAACATCGAAACAAGGAGAAATTATTTTCAATATGACATGTAAAACTTTGTTACTTTATAGCTTTTTGTATTTGGCTTTATCTGTGTAACTAATTTAAACGTTTTTAAAACCAACTCCCAAAAAACAAAACAACTAGACCTGAATAAAATGATTAATAAATACACTAGAGTTGACACTAGTCCTTCCACTCACTGGTTTAATGTCTCTGTGAAGAAAGCCCACTTCATGAATGTTTTCAATGCCTTCTAGGATCTGTACACCCAGACGAAGGGTAGTGGTTACGGTAAATGTTCCCCTGGGTTGACTACGACGAAGCTCAGCCAAGTTGGAACCTTGCAGAGACATGACTACATAGTTGAATTGATCATTGCGTCCACAGCCAATGAACTTACACACATGGTCTTTACCTGTAAAATACATGTAGCAGTTTGAAAGGACTTTTAATTAACACTGCTTTCCAAAAACAAACATGCAAATGAAAGAACAAAAACTGCGGATGAGTTATTACAGCAACTGTCCAACCGAACTCCTTACTACTATTACTGACTATCCTTCATTCCAAAAACATTTAAGATGTACATGTACATGCACTATGTATAGAGTCTTCAAGAATCTTTGTACATAAAGATTAAAGTGCACATTAGCAAACTCCATCAAATCATTCTTTTATGTTGATTCTGGTACTTGTCATGTTATTACTTATTGCTTATCAATGACCAATTTGCTTTATTAATAAGTTCCTTTGAATGCTCAGAACATTTGAAACAATACAATATTTAGCATTTTTTTTAATTTAAAATACTTTAGGGATAAGCCCAAAATCTTCCATTGCTTGACTGAATGAAAACTCTTGCTGATTAAATCAATCATTCTCATTCCACAAACATACATGTACATGTATTAGAGACTTTAAAATTTGATTAAGTACCGGTAAATGTATGTGCACATGTACATGTCAATGTAGATATTTACTTGACATGTACTAATATTTCTTTGTAACATGTTATTTTTCCTTACACATCCCAGTGATCGTTTTGGAAACCAAAACTAAGCAAACTGCATACATGTACACTGTACACGTACAATGTACATGTACATAGAACACGGACTGAAACTGAAAACATTTAATGTCGCTGCAGAACCCTGCGTACGTGAAATATCAGATCATTACATATGTGTGTACACTAGAGACCTTAAGTGTACAGAGTACATGTACATGTATAAAAAACTGTCGAACGTACACATTTCTTATATGCCTGCTTCTCTAGTCGTGATGAAATCATTTCTATTTCTTTTCGTTTCTTTTTTTAGCCTTCGCACACCATGAAAATTACCATCAACTGGATTTTATGCTATATTACCTTTCCTTCCACTTCTTCCTTTTTCTTTAATTTTGCTTCAGTTAACTCTGTAGCAACACGTTTCTTTAACCCTAACACTCCTCAATCCTTCACCTGTTGGAGGACTGAGGAGTGTTAAGGTTAATGCTTTTAAGCCTTGGAGGAAATACATGTACTCGGGAGACAGTTGTCTACCTTGCAACTTCTTGAGGACAGCCACTTCCATCTTCAGGACTTGTTTTGGTTGGAGGGCTGACTCCAACTTGAGTGCCACTGCCTCTTCAAGAACTTGGTCTTGAGCTTCATAGATTTCACCTTGGAACAAAAGGGAAAAATACAGGGTCTCAAGTCTTGTATGCCTGCATATTAAGAATACACATCTGAATATTTAGTAGACAGCATGCAGATGTGACGTGTCAAAGATGACTACATACATTGTTACACTAGTAATAAATTTGTCGTGGTTACAAGGGAGTGGTTTGAAATTTCTTTATCAACTTCCAGGTTTCAACCTGCAACAGTTTTTCTAATATATAAAATTTGAGATGTTAATCAAAATGGCAGACTTCATGCATGCGCAAGTACTTTAGAGAAATAATTCAATTGTTGGCCACATTCTACCCGTACTTTTGTCATGCGTGAGCAGCAGCAAACAAAGTCTTTAAAAGACTGATGTTATTACTGACTGGTGCACGTGGATCAGGACGAAGCACATACACCAATCATTCAATAATTACTCACCAAATCCACCACCACCAACTTTTCTGGTCTGGAAAGAAAACATATATAAAATATGTTTGGTGAATTATCTTGGACCAGATTTTAAAAACCAAGTCGTATTTGTTACATGTTCATGTGTATATTGCCATACTTGTTACAAACAATTTGAACAATATCCCACAAACACCACCACCCCCCAAAAAGTGGACTAGTTTCTGCAACGATATACAGTAGGGGTAATACAAGTATATGTAGTAGATGTAAGGAACCATAGAAATGAATCCAAAGAAATGGAGGGGTTGTAGGGAGGGGCATTTTTCTTTCTCTTTTAGCATCACTACATGTACGTGCATGCATGTTTGGGTACACTGTACATGTACATTGTACACACATGTACATGTACCGGTAACGAAACCACAGAAAAACACTGGATAATACCATTTTCTACATGTAGTATATGCATGCTTAACAAACCATATCCACACTTCATTGAACAAAGAACTGAGAAAAACGAAAAGTTGTTTCTAATTCAGAAAGCAAAAGTGAAATTTCAGTGACCGGCAACAACAACCATGTACATGTACCATATACACATACACTGTGCATGTGCACTGCAAGATTTGTCATGTGACTGTAAATCCAATAATCAAGATACCGCTAAATACACATGTGGCAGCTTCAGTTTTGATATTGTGGCAGAAGTCGACTCAAAAGAATTACAACACCAGCATGTACATGTACATAGGAAACGGTGGGTGTGCATGTACATAATGTACAGTACCATTGTATGTACTATCCAAGCCGAGAAAGATTTCACCTTGACAAATAATGCAGGATTAATCCAATCCTAGCCCGAACCTGTCCATAAAACTCAATGTCACACTAGTCATATTGTGTTCACTGCCCTCTTATGCAAATTTTTATAACCTTGATTATCAATTTATTTTTATCTCTGTTAGCAATCCCCACAAAACCGCAGGCCCTCCAAATGATATGTCACCAAGCTAATACATTATAAATCCCAAGTCTTATGGCCAGGTATGAGGTAATCATACAGGAATAGCACGTACATGTATCTGGTTGCTTGCTTCTGCATACCAAACTATGCCAAAGATTTCAACCCAAATGTTATCAAAGGTTGCCAACTTGATTTACAGCTGAAGGGACCAGCTTAGTTCCTGGACTGTTCTATTTCAAGTGGATAGTTTGATACAACAGTTCCAGTCATTTTTCTGTTAAATCTACGAAACCTTCATGCAACTGGTTCTGTTGCGTCTCTACAATGAGTTGGCTGTAAATGTGTTCAGGGTACCGTACCATTCCACAGTGGTTTTTCTTACAATTCCTGATTTAAAAAGTCACACGATATACATACATGTACTGATGTGTTAGTCTGCATGTAGTGTACCAGTGCTTGTACAAGGGAAATGGGCCTTTTCAAATGTGGGATCCTAAGTAGGTCTACCAGTACATGTAGGATTCTGAGATGGATATAGCTTTGAATTTTAAAAATCACTAATGGAACAAGAAAGGCTGTTTATGGAATGCCATGGTGCACATACTGTACACATATGTACATGTCCTGTATGAAATGCAGAGAATACTAGAACATAAAATCCATCAGAGCCAAAAGAATGACCAGAGACACCAGACCCCTCCATCCTGCGTTGAAAGTTACTGACTACATGTACATATATGTTTATTGGTACATGTACATGTATGTACCAGTGCTGTGTGCCTTGCACTGTACGATACGTGGATGTACCGGTTAAACCTGTATTGCAAGATAGATCATCAATATGTACATTCATAAATGTAAATCACTATTCCGTAGGAGGAACACTCATGGGAAATGGTTACAGTGGCTAGTCAAAGGCTTGCATAGGCATGCATGACTACAAACAAACCTCAGGACCTTCAAGCAAAGAAGCCTGTCTAGTATCCTGACTTACCACTTTCCAGCGGTCCTTGATAATGGCCCCTGGATGGACCAGGTCCTCAGACATTGCTGCTAGTCCTACTCCTACACTGTCTTGAAGGCTATGGAGACATGAGTTTACTTCTTTGGGTCGTCTTCACTATCCTCTACCATCCTTGAAAAAATAGAAAACAGTCACATGTTAATGGGCAAATATGAGATAAATTGGGGATTTCTGTACACAAGGATACACGTACATGTACATGTACATGACATGAATGCACAATGCTGATGATGATCAATTCAAGAGCAACATCGGGAAATTATCCTTTTTTTCTTATTTACATTTACATACAAGAGCAAGAGTTTTTTAGTCGATGATCCAACTACTGAAGGAATGTGTGAATTCTGAACAAAAGCCTGCTGTACAGCTAAGCACTAAAGACACCATCATCAAAGGCAGAGGGTTTATCCCATTAAAATGAATGGGATGACCTACATATACATGCAATACACCAGTCATCCTTCAGCTATAAGATTTTATTCACTGATAAATGTTGGTTTCTGGCCAACAGGGGTACATGTACGTAATGTAAGATAAACCAAAAAACGAGTAATTGGTAAATTCTTCATTACACATTGTACAACAAATTCTGAAGGCAAAGGGGACAACCAGGATAGAAACAGGGGATGGGTTGGGATCAGGCTGGCAGCTTGCAGCTCAGGCATATCAACGACAAAAATACAGATCCTGAGCAGCTAGACCGCCAATAAATGAAAACAGCTGCTTCATACTCACCCAAAACCGCACTCTGTAAATCAACTGAAGTTTTGGAATTAATAAGACACCAACTTCATTCAGGTCAAATCAACACACAACAATGCACAACGTGGACCTTGAATGCCAGAGATATAAATTCCAAGGATGCTTTGAGACAGTCTCATCAACAGCACATCAGTACATCTACCTCTCCTCTAGACAGTGTTCACCAGAACTGTTTCCAATCTTTCCTCAACAATCCACAAGATATATGCCGTACATTTTCCAATGTGGCTTGCACGTACGCGTATGTACAGTTCATGGTACGCCAGTATTTCCTTGGTTCTCAGACTGCCTAGAAGTGGATTCCTCAACGAGAGGGAAGATGTGAATTACCCCAAGAATGAAGAATGCGGACGCACATGTACATATGTAGCATCACTGTCTGCTAGTCCCAAGACAAATAATGGGGGCCCCCAGCATAAAAATACCTGATCTCTGATGGAATACACATAGCCTAATGGCCAACAGGCATGACAGGGATATGTGTACCAGTATACATGTACAGCAAATGTACAGCAGGGAACTTCTGGTGATAATTACAGAGTTCAATCCTCATGTGCCAAGAGCCGTAATGGGTTGTGAAAGATACCGGTACTAGTGCATGGTACTGTGCACATGTACATGTAGGTTACATTACTTTTGTTTACAGCATTTGATGACATCATCAAACATGCATGGTGAATGAGTGATGTACTCTGTACATGTACATGTACCAGCACCTAACATGTTACCCAGAAGTGGTACCACAAACACACATTACTAGCAGAACGGCTCTACTTGGATATATCATCTACATGTACATGTACACGTTTATACACACATGCCACAGCAGAATTCTAAAATCTACAATCTATGTTTTTCAGTTTTCTTCCCAAACAATGTCAAATGTTATTTTCACAAGACGATCTTAATTACACACGTCTTCCGTCAAGTTTCAACAAAGCCTGTAGAAGGGGTAAATTCACCAACTCACCAAAATGCATGTACATAATTTTTTTTTTGGTAGTACGGACTAGGTTTTGGGACATGTACCAGAACAAGCGTTGAAATATACATGCATGGGGATCAAAACTGATACACGTACAGGTGTATGGAGACAAACTTTTGTCAATGCAACTCAGTCCCAACTTTCCTAAAAAAAAAAGAAAAAAAGAATTGTCCCATTTCCAATGACCATACGGGAACATGCATCTTTATCATGTCAATGTGTCATTTATTCTCATACAGAAATTATAATGTACTTGTACAAATACATGTACATGTATACTTTAATCACGAGACTCAGTGTTGTATCGGAGACCTTGGTGTCCGAGATCAAGGCCGAGACTAAACATTAAAAATCTACTAGTATGCTAATGTTATGCAAAGGTAAACGAGGACAAGCAACATAAGACGATAAAATTGCACTGAACATATCAAATAAAGAAATTAACATATACAACGAACCATTAAACGTAAAAAGATTAAATATTTCTTCAAGACTTGACACTTTTTATTTTACATGTACCTTTGAGAAATACAATGTACAATGCACATGTAGTTGTGATAAGCTGCAGATTTTTGATATGTCAATGCCATTAGCAGGTGTACGGTTTAATTATATCAATGAACTCCCAAGCCTATTTTCATTTAATTTCAATGAAGATGTATGGCATATTTACATGTATACATTTCATAAAAACTATTAGGCATGACGTGTAAAATACCAAAAATATGAAGTGATCCTTATGTTAATGCTGAATGTCTGAGTTTGCCAGTGGTACTACCGGTACTTTAATGATCACTGGACTGGTTAGAAAGGTCAGTTAGCAGAAAAAAGTTATCCACCAATATGGCATTTCCCTATTGAATGTATGAAATCGTCATTTCCAACCTGAATGACCACACTGATGTAAACATAAAAACTTATTTTTTCATGAAAAAAAAATTAAGAAAAAATAGATATCCCAATAAGATCTTGATTTATTGAGATGACAGGTGAGGGAAAGGCAGAAACACATGCAAAAATGGGCACACGTGTGCCAGTGAAATTAATGGCACACTGAGTGCGAGTTCCAGTGCTTCCAACCTCATCTCCATCGTGTTGAGCAATACTTCTCACAGCTGTCTCCTGTGCTGGAAATGAAGTAACAACTTGGGACGAGGTTGTAGCATACTGTATTGACTATTCTCCATTCAAGCATCGATTTCATTCTTTATCGTGGAAATTTGAACAACACGGTGTCGTACATGTATGTTTGGAAACTAGACTCGTGTGGAGGTCAGCTGGCAAGTGCGGTCATGAGTGGTAACTAGGTGCACATTTTGTTGTGGTCTTGAGACCTACATGTACAACATTGCACTGGGTGCTGTAATTTGTTGCAGAAAACAATTGTCATTTGCATGAACAATGATCTTTTCACAAATCATACAGTAGACCCCTTCCATCCATTCCTATTAAAAATTTATCCTTTCAGACAAGTTATTAACTACATGTACATGTACGTACATGTACATATACCATAACTTATATGTAAACTTGTAAAATGGTAGAGCGACCTTAAAAGATGGAGATGTTTAGAAACAATCGCTCCTTGCCTTGTCTTGGCTTTGAAATTCTCCCATGGACAATCAGATTTTTTGACTGAAGGAAAGTTGTTTTGCCTCTCTTCCCTGGACAAAGAATACCAGTACCCACACAGCCTGATCACAATCCTCATCTGGATTACCAGGCTTTCCTTTAACCCTTCTCTTAAGTTCAGCCAAGATGGCATCAGTCCAACATTCTTGAGATGTTAATGAGGAGGCAGAGCCAAGGAGTTTTGCAGAAGACAGATTCCTCTGAAATTGACAGCCTGGCACTTGAGGGCATCGTTCTCATACTACATGTACATGTACAGGCTCTGGTATCACTAAACAGCCTCAGCAGGCTAGGAGTACTGGATACATTGTACATGTACATGTACCCAGACCCAGTTTGAGTGAAGTCTCGTGATGCCAGAGAAGAAATTGCAAGTTGCTTTGGATGATAGAGAAAGGGCAATTTACTTTTGAACTAATTAGTTGTGACCACTTCCAGGTAGTGTTTGACCAAATCCACATATGAACGCCATATGCAGCGCATGTACCGTACAATACTTGCTAACCACAGCAAATGAAAAACAGTGCTATATAACAGGTACATATACACATGTAAGCCCTCAAAGGAATTCCAATATCTATTTTCATAACCTTACAAGCTATTTCACCAATTCAATTTCAATAAACCATCTCAAAAATAGGAATGCACTGTAAATAGAAGTACATGTACATGTAGGCATCACATGTACAGGTACCTAGGTTTTGACTCGGAACTACAAGTCCATATGAACCATACTTGTACACAAATACATGTATGAACCTGAACATTCAATCAAGGCTTGGGATGTCATGCTGTTTTCCACCTCAACAAACTGTGATTTACTTGTGATCAAACTTAATAAAATGTGTCAAAAGAGTCCCTTGTGAGTTTAAAGAATTAAGATTGCATAATGTAAATCAGTGCAAGCTACATGTACGCGGGTCAATATATTTCACCCACAATGTCTATTTTCACCAGAATACCAAAATAAGTGACACATCAAAACAAGAGCTCTGTTTACTTTTTCTGAAGTAAATATGTAAAGAAAAAATAAATATTAGCAAAAACTGCCTTCATATGCACTCTTTGAGATCTGGTCACATATTAAACCATGCTTTTTTATTTTGAAATGAAATCCTCAGACGAATTTAAAATCCATTTCAAAAGGATATCTTGGCGATCAAGCCCAGGGCAATATTTTTCTTTGTCATCTTGGCGATCAAGCCCAGGACAATATTTTCTTTGTCATCTTGGCGATCAAGCCCAGGGCAATATTTTTCTTTGTCATCTTGGCGATCAAGCCAAGGGCAATATTTTCTTTGTCATCTTGGCGATCAAGCCCAGGGCAATATTTTCTTTGTCATCTTGGCGATCAAGCCCAGGGCAATATTTTTCTTTGTCATCTTGGCGATCAAGCCAAGGGCAATATTTTCTTTGTCACTTTCAAGTCTTGGCTGTAACTTCTGCCAGGTGTGACATGTTCCGCAAGAACTGTGCCCTGTCCAGGAGAAGCTGCAGATCAGAAGCAATTTCTTGAGTGTCCAAAAATTTCCCCCAAACAGTGCAAGTCACAAAGCCACTACCATGCTACATGTATAGTATCAAAACACAATGATCAAACATTTTATTTACCACACAAAGAAAAGAAAAAACTGGATAGCCCTGCTGAGGAAGTTACATGAAATAAAACAGAGCTCACAGAGCTTACTTCTTCTGGTGAGCACTGTTTTTATTTCCAATGGAGTTCTCCAAC